CCTGTGCCAAAGATCAAAATAAAACAGCACAATTAGGACCTTGTCCAGAAATGCTTCTAAGTATGCACCTATGTCAAGTAAGCAAATAATCCCACTGAAGTCAGTAAAACACCTCAAATGCTTAAACACTTAAATGCATTGCTGGATCAGGGCTTTGATGTTTATTTTTATGGGAAAAAGAGGAAGGCATAATGTTGGTAGCTAAAAGTGAATCTTGACACTTAATCCATAATAAAAATATGATAATATATAAATTTTGTAGTATAACTCTTTCTATCCATAGTTAATACAAAAGATGCACTAATATATATTAACCTACCATTTAGTTTAGAGTAAGAAATTTTTTGAATGTGTAATAGAAATTAAACATGAGTATCATCCAAGAAAGACACAGTTCTAAACGTTTTGCTACTTACACATGCTGTGGGCAAAAAGAACACATCACTTTAAGGTTTGTTCTATGAAACAATCCACAAAGTAATGGTACAATCAGCACCAATCTTTGATAAGCACTCACCCACTTTGTATTTCTCTTCAAAACATGTTGAAATCAAAGAGCTGAGAGATCATAATATTTTTGACATGCCCCTCTCAGTTGCATAATCCACATATTTTGACATTTTCTTCTCCTGATAAGTGATGTTTGATACTAGATACCAGACATAATTAAAACTAACTCTGTACAGAAAGTAGTGTGTGTGTGATAATATGTATTTTTCTTGCTTCCGTTTACAGCTATGCTGAAAAAGTACAGACATATTGATGAATCAGTTACATAGCTCTTTTTGACTACAAGTACATAGCTCATTTTTCTTACTGAAATGTTTTGGAAAGCAATCAGAAGTCTTTGAGACCAATGAATTCATACTATTTACAATCATTCATCAAAATTATTTGAAATGAACATTTCAACATCTAGGATTTTTTAAAGCAGTTTCTTTGAAGATACAGGTCTTTGTATTGTTTAATTGGCCTAAGATTAAGCACCTGATAAAATAATTTTCTTCATGCTAGAAAAATGCTTTACTCTTTTAATAACTGATTGATAAGCCTGTCTATTAACAAAACTAGTAATATTATTATTCAGATGTTCATTTCTGAAAGCATTTTCCTAGGCCCAAACTAAACAAATAGAACTCCATTAGTATAACGGCAGTTGTGCATGCATTTTTGAAGTGTGAATGGACATCATGCTCATATTTGCCCATAAATCTCTCTACAGAACTGTTTGCGCAGTACAGTGAGGCTCCGCTGAGTAATTTAAAATTACTTTTCATACTTATCAGTCATTTTAATCTGATAGTGCTTTAATAGACCATGGTGCATTTTCATTTCTCTCTTATAAATACATATTCCTCTAACCTGTTTAAGACGTTTAGAGTGTAACATATGTTTAAGATATTCCTTAGGCAGTTTTCCTCCATCTAACTGGAGCCATTAGAGTTCTTCTCACCACAATTCAGATTTCATAAAATACTTTAAACTGTTTATAGTCCCATTTCATGAAATCCACATGACACATTCTGCGTCTCTAGCATGCATCCACAAATAGGCACCCTTCTTAGAATTACTCAGATTTTACAAGCTTTAAACTGTAATAAGCGAAGCTGGACAATGATATAACAATTTTACATTTTGCGTGTTCTCTCTCTCCTGAATATCAAAAGCTATTTATAATGACAAAATGAAATTACTTCAGAAGCCATTAAGATGAGAACAGGGCATTAGAAAAATCCATACTACTTCACATGCAAGAACTGATTACCACAAGCTAACAATTTAAGAATATTTAGACTTATACATTGAACATGGTCTTCATGCACCCCTTATTAGCATTTAAATAATTCTGGGCAGTGGAATGTTTAAAATGGCTAAATTTAGCTGAAGCTTAACGCAAAATTTTGGGGTATTCTATCCACTAAGGTTGTACATGATTTTGTTAAACACTGAAAGTCAGTTTCAGTTAAATAAAGAGGTATGCACATCATCACTTCCACACTTATTTCATTGTCCCACAGTTAGGCCTGGGCAGATTGAGATCAGAATGCTATTGTAAAACATGGTCATACTGACAGCTGTTGCTTACATGATTCGATGAACAAGTGGTTCATCAAATCATGTACGAAAAATAGGGTTTGTGTGGTTCAAAATGTCACTCAAAAGCCCTTTATAAAACGGCTAGAAACTTCTTCATGTTTCTATAGAAGCGTAGTTAACTATGTTGCTTAGAGAATGCTTCCCAACCTGTTCAGGTCCCAGCACAAAACAAGGTCCCCCACATCAGCCTATATAGAGAACAACTAAGGTACATTTCACCTCTTTTTCTAAGTGCTGAACAAAATGACAACAATATATCCAAAGCAAATATTACTTCCTCCCTCCTCCCTATTTCTCTGTGTACCTGAGTGTATGAATTTGAGAAAGAAAAGTAAGGGGGTGGGAAATATATGTGAATAAAATAAATTTAGAGAGAAAGGACTGCGAAGTTCTGCATGCTGTTAGGAAAGGAACTTTTTGATGGACCAGTAAAATCACACTAATGTTTTTTTTTCCATCGTTATAGGGAAAAATAGGCAAATTGTGCATCTCCACTAGCAAATCTGTGTGACAGTTTTATAAGCTTGAGTAAATATAGCTACTTTTTATAATAATAGTGCAAGTAATTTTAATCATGTTAATTTCTTAAGACGACAAGTCTCAAACCTCAGCTTTATGAGTCAGCATTCCTGATGTCAAAAAAATCACAATAATAAAAGCAAAATATTTCAAGACATGGGCAACCTCAAAGCTAACTTGGTTCTGAAATGTGGAATATACCCAGAGTAAAAATATATCTAATGTTTCCTTTAAATTTGTGTTGTAAATTCAAGCATACTAAATTTATCCTGAAATATACACTAACATTAAATTACTGGTGTCTAAGACCACCACACACTAACTTAACAGCCTCCTTCTTTCGTTATTTACAATCATAATTTAATATGTAAACATGCATTAAAGTGGAGGATTAAACTTCTCAGAATGAGCATTACTTTTATAAAAAAAAAGGTATGATCAAGACAAAAAGAAAAATAAAAAAACACGATTTTGATTCAGAACAAAATAATCCATCCTGTATATTTCTCACTGAAAGTAGTCAAATAAGCAATAGCTGCTGGTAATTGCAGAAACAGACTGATTGACCTAAAAACAGGTTTCGGTGTCATAAGTTACCATAATACTGAATATTTAGGACAAAAGCTCAGGTTGAAAAAGTGGGAGGGGTTAAGTAGTGGCATGAAGGCAACACACTTTTGAAGAAAGCTTAAGGCAGGCCTTCTTGACTCAAGCCTTTGCAATAATAACTAGATTAATATATTTATTTGGGTTAAAACAGTTTTATGCCTCCACTCTGCAGCTTTATATTCAGATACTGCCTTAGAAAGCAAACCCTAGATTACGCTATTGTACTGAAGCCATCACAACTAAAGTCTCAATCAATACTGTTCAAAAGCCAATGGAAAGACACCCTTGACTTCAGAGATAGATGCGATTTCAGCACGGGTGTGGGCTTTTTTATTGCAAACTGCAATAAATGAAAAACTGTAATGAACATTTCCCTAGCATTATAAATTAGTGATGAATTCTCTCTTGTTTTCTGCCTTTGTAAATAAACTGATGAGTTCACAGACTCCTCTCATGCACCATATGGGTTAAAATTATTTTCATTAGAAACTGGTGAAAATAATCACCACATCTTTCAGCTGGTCAAGTACATGCAATTTGTTTCATAAAATAAGATATAGATGTCATTCCAAATAAATGCCCATAAGTAGCATCTTTTTTATAGTTGGAAATATATTTTTATTTTATATAAGCAATAGATTCCCTAGTGCATAAGAAGCTTACTAACTAACCTAGTGTTTTATTGCGAGTCGGGGTACAACACTTTCTGGATGATGTGGAGAGCAAAAAAAAGATGGGGCGCGGCGGGGGGGGAAACCACTCTGTTTTATAAAGAAAAACCAACTGCTGCCAGAGAGGAGAAAGTGAAAGGATTTTTGCCAAATATTTACTAGTGTTCAGCATTGAAGCCATGACTCTCTCCAACTTGTAAACACAGAGCCCGGTTTTGCAAAGTTAGGTAGTCTACAACTTGGTTTGTCTGCTCCTGACTTTCCAATAGGGGAAACACTTTCCTGTCTCACTAGACACAGAGAGTGTCTGCACACACTGCCCTATCCCATTACCTCCTGCATGTCTCACACGTGTGTGTGTGTGTGTGTGTGTGTGTGTGTGTACTGCCCTATCCCACTACCTCCTGCATGTCTCACCAGATTGTGACGCGTCTGTCCCACTAGAGTGTGAATGCATCTGTCCTACTACAGTGCCTGTCCCACTAGTGTGTGTGTGTGCGTGCACATCTCAGGAGAGAGAGGGTGGATGTGCGCGTGTTCACACACCTTCTTTCCGCCCCGTGTACTAGAAATGCCATCCCTTCCCAGAGAAGCCCTGCTACCGTGGCGGAGCTTTTCACAAGAATGGCACTTGTGCACGGGGGAAACTTGTCGCCGAGCCCCAGGATCAAGCACCACCTCCCTGCGCGGCTCACCAATACCAAGATACCATGGGAGAAACTTTTCGATTTTACTTTTTGACGGCGGAGGGGGGCAAGGGGCTCCCCCCAGATAAGCCAAGTGAACTGTTCGACCCCTCAGCGCTTCTCCCCCCCGGAGCCGCGCCAGCCCCCCGGCCCCGGCCCCGGCCCCTGTCCCCGGGGTGAGCTGGGCGCGGGGCTCCCGCGGGGGGCGGCGGAGCGCGCCAGGAGGAAGCTGCCCCCGCCCGGCAGCCGCAGCCGGGCCCGGGCCCTGCGGGAGCCTCC